CGTAGAATTTCGATTTGCAAAAGATGGTTTTGACTCTAAAACTGCAGACGAAAAGACGTGATTCCCAGCCTTATTGGTGCACCAAAAAGTCGAAATTTGGGCATTCCTATCTTTCAGGGGTCCATTTTGCCCAAGTATCGCGCTTGATTTGAAATCTTTTTAACTCTAAGATAGAGTTATACTACTAGCTGTTGTCATGGAGTACATTTGGTGGTCTTCTTTTGCGATCTCGGAAACTTGTAATTTTTTGAAGCATCGTTCCTGAAGGAACGATAATCCCTAAAGCGGACGTTAAAGGGTTAATTCTATTGTTTTACCTTGGCAACAAGCGTAGCAACTAACTGAGGTTAAATTAATGAAAGATCGGTCACACTTAAAGTCCATTTACAATTTGTTTATTTTCAGCTAACTTAAGTTAAATCTCTTAGTGTGGCCACAGCCAGTAGGTAACCTACGAACATTCTAGGCTGTTACATTAATAAATGGGAAACACATGACTGAAAATATCCTTCTTTTCAAGCGCTTTTCTAATTTCATGAAATGAAACGACTACGAATCCAGAAATGAACACTCTTTCGTTCTTGAAACAATTATTAAATTCTTCGCGAGAAAAATTCAAAAATATTTATGTTTGTTATGATCCAGAAGCAAAGCGTTGTGTTAGTTGTTTTCAGTTCAAAATTATGAGTGCCGAGCATCGTATTTCCCTGATTTTGAAACCGCCGATCAAGGTCAGCGCTTGACATTTCTCTGCAAAGGAAGAATATTTTCATGTCTGTGATCGTGGTTGTTTTATATTCCATTTTCATTCCTATTCTCCGCATAAGCGCCTAGCGCAATACAACACGCCAATATTGGAGTGTGACTTTGCCTGGTGCCTGGTGGACAGTAGAGCACAATTTTATTACGGCATATTTCCAATGTAAACTCATATTACACGTACTCTGATAATTCTAGTCTAAGCTAATAAAAGAAAAGTTGTTTACAAGTTTATATATATACGTTGCCCGCTACAAAAAACCGGAGAAAAACCACGTGGGAGAAAAATACTCTGGAAACGTAGTCCTCGACCGATGCAACGTATGGCTCCGAGGGTTAGAGCACTTACAAATGTACTAAAACTTCAAAACAATGCTTAACAATAAAGAATATGACTTCTATCTTGTCATTCTTCAACTTAAATGACTAAGTTTGGTCACTTCACTGGCTGTCCAGCAAGCGAGAGAAAGAAAATACAATTCTCTGTACTTATATATCCAAAGTTTATTACTCTCATTGTCTTATGACAAAGACCTGTCTCTTGAGACTATACAATAGACTTTCACTTAACAGAGTGAAAGAGTTTGCTTTGAACCGTAATGAATACGCTTTCCAACTTCACTTTGTTGTGTTGGAAAGCCTCTATTCATTCCTATTCTCCGCATAAGCGCCTAGCGCAATACAACATGACAATATTGGAGTGTGACTTTGCCTGGTGCCTGGTGGACAGCAGAGCACACGAGACTATACAAAGACGAGAACCGCTGGAAAAGAAAAGAAGTAGAAACAAAATATATGTTATTTAAAGATTAATTGCCTTAGATCAATTTATCTTTTTCTGTATAACTTATATAGCTCAACTTAGAACGAGGTGATTTCCAACCTGCATGCCTATCAAGGCACTCTCCGGAAACCCCCGCTCGATACGAAGCACACGCCCCTCCCTTCTTTAAACTGTGTGTCCCGTATTTTTTAGGATCATCTACGAATAGCGACAAAGTATCTAGGAAAATTTCTCTCACCCTAGTGTAGCTAATTGATTGTTGCATACCCTTACCCTTAGAGGACAATCTACAAACTAAATGCTGATTGGGACCACTAGGCAGCATAGCCAACAATTTTTCCGTGATTGAATCCGGGCAAGTAATCTTACCCGACCTAGAAAAATGCACAGTATGACCTTTGAAATATTGGTCATTTTTACGTTTCTCGCAGAACATGGTCATGTGATCTGGCATAATAGAAACGTGTTTCCTGGTCACCCCCACAACCTCATCAAAGCGCAAAAGGCCTGCAAAAGAAACACAAAATATAAAACTCGTCCTTAAATTAGATAAACTAGCACTAGGTGTATTTAGCTTTTCCAGCACTTTCGTCAAGACATCTAACTCCAAAGGCTCCTTTCCTTTCACAGGTTTGCCTAATAAACGCTTTGAAGCTTCGACTAGCTGCTTAACCATAATATCATCTGTCGGAGAAGGTATACCCGCCATATCATGCGCTCACTTCACTCCATAGTATGCTGTCAAAATTGGCGCCGGCGATTCGCAGGATTCCATTCTCTCAGATACAAACAAAGTAAAAAAGGTGACACTGGAAATTTATTCACACCCAGGTTCTCTATTTCCCACCTTTTCCATGCCAACCACGCATTTTTATACTTCACATTCGTACTGTCAGCTCTACAACATAGCATGACGCTGGGTAGGGAATCCGCCAGACGCTTTAACTTGCTCGTCGGTTCCAGTTTACTGGCTTCCCTCGACATTCCACTCTGAAAGACATCTAAAAGCTACAATCAACAAAGGCATCATAATTTCAAAACTCCACTTTCAACGCCAAGACATTAAACTTCGGAGTACCCGAGAATACCGACTTCTTGTTTGCAAATGACTGCATACATCCTTCTCCTGGAATGAACATAGTCGGCGACTTAGGTAGACACAAGTAACCTTTTACAAAACCTGAAAAAACAAAGGGACTTTCGAAAGAACAAAGCAATGGCCAAAACGCGGCTGACTTCCACTCCGGGACAATTACCACTCCTTTTGCTGTACAGGCCTTCATATGACTCAGGATCGCACCTACTAAACAAGAAGGGGGACAAAAATAATTATAACAATTATCGAGTTGAGAGTTAGACCGACCTGCCATTCTGTCGATGTCAAAAACTACATCCCGGTGAACGACAATCAGTCGAAATAATAACGGATTCAGCATGTAGTCGTCAGGATCTCTTATGCGACTGAGGTAGTCTGCCAGTTCGTTTTCAGCCCTAGGAATCCACTGAACCTGAAACGAGATTCTATTACACAAACAAAAGTTAAAGATCTGCAGAGACACCTCTTGCAAATGAGCGAGGCAACTCTCGCAATGCACAATACGCACTGCGTTTTGATTATCGCTAAATATTTTAACCTTAAAAACTTACTAAAGCAAAAAAAAATGGCCTTCAGCTCTCTAAAAGTCGAGCTTTGACAACTGTCATTCACATCCCACATTCCTGAACAAAAATTTTGTTCATTTCCCATAATCAGGCTCGCACCGTAACCGGTATCGCTTGCGTCACATGACACAGTAGCATGAAAAGACATGCCTCTATTTATAGGATAGTAACCTATTCAAGAATACTCCTATTCATGCTCAGTTGAAGATATGGATTGAAATCAACCAGCGGACTAAACCAAGCTGAAACAGCTTGGTTTAGGGGAAGGGGACTGACTACGACTCCATGAACCTATGGGTGGGTGGGACGTCAGTCACGGCTGTTTCGCTCCATACGAAGAGTGGACATTAGGTTCCAGGATCCCCGATCTCTGATTGCGCGCGGTTGTTGTCACGATAACGAGGCTTTCAAGCTACACGATGGATGTAGCGTGGTGGTGTAAATACAAGCCGAAAATGTGTTTTTTCTTACGTTTTGCTATCCTTTCGCTGGCAATTTAATTAATCAGATGCAAGGCGTTGCTCCTAAAAATACTCGGAAAGAAAGAAATAGGGGATTTTCTGATCAAAAGACGGAGACTTCTGATATTGTCGCTGTGGTGTTTTTGGAAGCAAAATGGCGTAACGAATGTTCGTGTTTTGGGCAGTTTTACAGCTCAGATAAATTGGAGTCTGGAACTTTTCCATAAAACAGGTGAGTGTTGTTTATTTTAAGTGTACTTAGTGCTAAAGGATTAATCAGGTGTCTATAATGTAACTATTTTTTTGTTGACTCTAAAACCAAATGAGTTCATGTGGAAACTTCGATGATTCGTTCTTCAAACGTGCAGCTATTTTTCCCGCCGATTTCCTTTTGACCACTCGCGCGTCCTTTTCGCGCCATTTTTCCCCCTATAAAATGTAACTGAAGGCTATATGTTGCTCCTGGCCGTCAAAATGGACANATTTGTTTTTTTTTTTCTAGTCTTCACCTCAGGTTTTTTAATTATGTTTGTTGGTAGACATCTTCTATGATGTTCTTCCACCACACATTTCAACTGGTCAACTGGATTTCGTATACAAGAGTATACTCTTTTTAAGTTGTTAAATTCTGAATGCAWTCCTTCAATACCTTGTTCGCCTGGCAAACASAAATGYATTGTTTAGTCAAAAACATGTTGAACTCTGAATTCAAATTGATTACTTGAAGATTACCAAGTAAACCAAATCCTGWGTTGTACTTCTTTACCCACTGAAGTACATGGTCCTCCAGAAAATGGAGTTTTGGAGTAATGGACGACCCCGGAAAAAATGATCGGTAGAATGCCATAAAAAGTTTTATTTCTGTATCTGAAAAAWAGCACAAAAACCCAGAATTCTACATGTACTAGGTAGAAATTTAGAAAGTTTTTTACTGATTTCTGTCCAATTACATTTACACTCACCAAGTTGTGTTATTTCTTAGTTTTTTATTTCTGTTCATTAATTTATGATTCGTTCTTCAAATGTGCAGCCATTTTTCCCGCYAATTTGTTTTTGACCACACGTGCACGTCTTTTTCGCGTCATTGTTTTACTATWAAATGTACATGTACCTGGAGACTGAATGTTGTTCCTGGCGGCCCGGTGTTGTTTAAAATGGAGAACCAACGTGATGAAGAATGGCAAAAGCTCCTGTCAGAGCCACGCAAAAGTGAAAAAAAAAACAACAAACAAACAAAAACAGAAATTCAAGTTCTAAGAATCGAATATACATTGTATAATGTATATTGATTTGATTGTATTGTATATTGATTTGATTGAAATATACCTCACATTGATAATATTTTGATTTGATTGATTGAAAAATAGATATACAGTACACTTCACATTAATATTGATTGATCTGATTGATTTTGATCATGTGACATTCATATTCTTTGTGATGTCTTGACTTTCCTTACATTAAATAAACAATTATATGATTAAGTTTGATAGATTCTCTTAGTATATACTGTATTATTATACAACTATTACSTAATTAAATTTCCCTATAGTCAAGAGAACTCACAAAATATGGAGCTGTATTTTCCTTGGYCACAACCCGCCGRTGATGAAGTATCAGCTTTCATTCATGAGAATAGAAACAAAAGCACTGTTATTAAAATATAATTAGCTTGGCTGTCAAACCTAAAGTCTTTGGACAGCTATCTATTCCAAAGCACCAACCGAGCAGCAGCATTTCATGTCTTCGCTCCTCTTCTTTTATTCTTCTTTTTTCTCTTTTTTTCTGTGTCTGATAGTGGGGATTTTTGTAACATTTGCAGGGTGACATCTTCTGTGGTGTTCTTTCAGTACATACTGTAGCTGATCTTCTCCTTTTCGTATGTTTGCATAGGTTCTGTGAAGCTCATTAAACTGGTGATGAATGGACTCTATGCCTTGCTCTCCAAGCAGACCAAATCCAGTGTTGTATTTCTTCACCCAACCAATCACATGATCTTCAAGAATGTGCATTTTTGGGAGCACAGTGGCATGTGGAAAGAAACCACGATACAAAGCCATAAATGCTTTAATGTTGTTTTCTGTAAAAAGATGGTTGTAAAATAGTGTTATGCTGTTACAAAAGAATAAGAGTGGTTTGATATACCAGTAAGTAACTTACAACATGTTTACTGTTTCATGGAATTTTGAAAAAGACTAAAAAATACAGAAGTAAATGTAATAAATATACCAAGTCCTGTGATTTCCTTGGGGCCAAGTGTTGTATTCCTGTTTATAKCCTTGTGGACTTGGCTGTATAAGTTGAGTAWCTGSTGGAACTTATCAGCGATTACCTCTGCATCATCAGTCATTGCTGGGCACAGTTCTTTGGTTATATTTACTGGAATTGATGTGARTTGCTCAACATTTTTCGCCTATTACAATATGAAGGGACAATAAATTATTATAATATATAAATAATTAGTTTATTAGTCATGATAAAATTGAAGATGGATTGAATGATTAATCTCTTTTTTAGTTCTTACTGAAAGGCATTTKTCTGTGTGGTTTCCATTAAATGTCCCACCATGGTAAGCCTGTTTCTCCACTCCAATTTTCTTMAAGGTGTCATCTAAGGCTTGAAGACAGGGCCCTTCGTTCTTTGGGAAAWTTTTTTCCAASTTGTTRATTTCATCTCTCTGGGGAAAAAAATCAAAATTGAAGTTGTTTTGAAGATTAACTAGAGGTTGTCATTGAATTACAGTA